GATTCACGTGTGGCAGCCATGGGGGGGGTTTCTTATTTCAAAAGAGTAGCCCAACTCTTTGACACAGCGGCACGCACGATTAGTGATGCATTGCATCCACTGGGCCCTGCTTTTCTGCACTGGCTGACACCTCTCAGCCTGTCAAGCGTTGTGCCTGTCGTCGTAGCGGCAGCAGCGGCGACGGCAAGCGGCAAGTCAACATCTGTTGAGGCTGATTGGTAAATGCCAATCTGGCTGACAGTGCTAATGTGACACGTGCCAGAATATCCAGCGATATAAACGGAGACGATTTAATAATATGAAATGAGTTCTGTAATGCAGGGCAGTACCATACACGCACCGATATACATTATTTTCCGTCTGTGTCCTTAAATTCCCAGTGCGGGCGATGTTCACATGGCATAGCTGGAGTCCCAACGAGATTTGGGTCGTGAGTCATGGAGCTGACTCACATCTTTGGCATCTCTTGAATGCGGTACCTGCCCTCGGGTAGAGCAGTCCGTTGTATCGGAACGTTTACCATCGTAAGGCTATTAGAGTATATATCCTGGTTCTGCACTCTTAAATTAGGTAGTAAAATAATCCCTAAGGTTGTATAATGAGAGCAGCTGGGAGAAGTCAGAAGTGTCATGACTTAGATATCCATGATCATTGTGTGTAGAAATGTGTGTTTGCCTCTGCCCTGTTACAAGGCAACACAGTAGCCAATGTGGAGCTCATCAACCCGTGCTCGCTGCCCGTAAACCCCTTGGCGGCCTACATCCACCAGGCATCGCCAATGCCTCCATTTGTTCTGCCGCCATTCCCCAACCACTCGAGATGCTGCCGCCGCCGCCATCATCGCTGACATCCCGAGGAACCCCCCCCCCCCCCGCCGGGCCTACTCGCCCCGCCTCAGTCCCTGTGTAGTGAGCGGCTTCCGAGACGCGTTGTGTAGAGGGCTTCTTATTTATTCTCACACTGGGCACAACACAGGCCGATACATATAGAATATACGTCTCCTCTCGCTGGGCACAACACTGGGTAATATATATACGTCTCTAGCTACGTACAGCTGACCTCTCTTCATAGTGCCATCGCCTTCATCCAACCACGCAGCTGACTGACTAGCGTGACGATGACGGCGATGGGAGCCGTGCGGAAGATCTTCCACGCGGCCGGACGACGGAGAGAGAAGACGGCGAGCAGCGACGCAGCCAGGACCCGGGACTCCGCAACAACCCTGAACCCTCGGTTCCATCCCCCTTATTATATACCTCTCGGCGTGGCCAGGCCCGCCTTCTGACCACGCCCTCTTCCAGAACCTTCGGGCAGGTTCCCGGAGCTTACCGACTAACCCCACCTTTTACCTTTAACCCAGATACGCCCCCTCGACTGATTAATTGTTACATAACCTTGCCCATGCCCGTGATTACCCTTCCAGGCCGACAGGTGGCACCCTGTCATTACACCTGTCACCCGCTGCTGCCGTCCACAGCACCCCTCGGCCTCCCTCCTCGACTCCATTCGTTTTCCCAGTGTGAACAACTCATTTTAACACGTAGGCTTTCGCGACCAATATCATCCATAATATAGGTTTCTTTATATTTACGTGCTCTAACCCAAGAAATATATATTGTGGATGTGAACAACTCGCCCGCCGATGTCTCTGGGAAAGAAAAAAAAAGTCAAACTGGGGAATGGCAGCCCTGGAGTCTTACTTCGCTGCCCCCGGCTACCTTGTCCTGCCGCTGCCTGCCCCCTCTGCCTGTCACTATATACGTCGCTTCAATCACCCGCAACCTCAGGAGAGTGTTTTTCATTTCATCCTTGATGCTCTGTCAACCCAAACTCATTCCTCGCTGCCTTCCCACCCTGGCCACCCCCTCGACGTGACCATCCTCGCCAGTGGCCCTCTCTCATCCCGAAGCATCGCCTCAAGCCAGTGGTTCTCAACCTTTACTGCCAGACTTGCACCCCTTTGGTTCTCAATCATTAAAAAAAACATCATAAATACACATGGTTTGATGCAACAAAGTAGTTGTACTTACGTGCCTGTACTTAATTTGTGTTTCGATTAATTGCCTTCTAATAAAATCTGGCCATATCCCGCACCCCCAGGGGGTGCATGGTGCAGCCCTGGTTAAGAACCACGTCCTTAAGCTCCCAAGGCAACTTGCTATTTGCTGCTGTTGCTGTCATTCCCATTGGGGTTTCCTGTCTGTACCTGTGGCTTCTTCACTGTGAACACAAATCCCATGTCCTGCTCAAACGGTCGTTGGGGTTATTTGACCACACGGTGTGCCTCGCCGTACCACGCCGCCGGTCAGTGCGGGTTGGCGACGACGGGGATCATAGACGTGGGGAGCACAGAAGAAGCCCACGACACACAATTCACCTGCGCTGTGCACCCGTAACCCGCACACCACACCCCTGCGTGACAACCCGGTTTGTTTCACGGAAGTCGCCCACACACGCCGTGTATCTTCCCACGTCTCTTGTGACATTGGGGTGGGGGCCCGGCTCCGGGTGGGGGCTCGGCACCACCGCACGTCCCTTTTAGCGCCACCCAAAGTTCACTCTCCTTATCGGCGGAACGCTGTTATGATGGCCGCCCCAGCCCCCACATAACGAATAGACTGCCCCCCCCCCCTATCGAGGGGCAGCTGGAGCCGGGCCTGGTTCTGGGCATTCAGGAGCTTGCACGTTCCCATGAACAGTCCGTGAACAATCGGCTGCCTGAAGGTGTTGGGCGCGTTTCGTGAGGCACTGCGTCACGATTTGTCTGCATGAACTCCCCCAGTCTCCCTCGCTTCGCTGCCTCTGCTCGTCGGTTCCCTATGAAAACAAATATTCTCCAAGTGGTTCCTGTGGAATGCATGCAGCGCAAGCGTGGGTGAAGTATTGCCAAACCCACAGGACAGCAGTGGATCGATGAAGGGGCCTACGTTGACACCGTGTGGCTGCACCGCCAGCTCAAGGATTGGGGCCAAATAATTTTCCCGCGTTCAAATGGTTTAAAGGAATAATTATTGTGTTTAAATAGCGCAGCACGCGTTTTACAGAAAAAAAATCATGTTTACCACGATTGCGTTAACCAACTTGAGCGGCGTCGTTGTGACTTGCGACATATTGGAGGCTAGGTAAATATTTTATGCTCATCTGGTATTTGTGATGTTTCTATTTCCCCAATGGCAGTTAATTATGTAATCAATGCTAATTAGCTCTCAACTTGATAGCTTGTCATTTATTTATTTAACAGTTGCTTTGTGTTAGACCGCTGATACTGGAGTAGGTTATATTTAAATAACACGCGCGTGCCATGCATTTAAAATCAAATGATAGTTTTAATAAATTATACCCCCAGCACATTCTCAAACAACTTTGATATTGGATCAATTATTTAAATTCCACACGGCAGGATATATCACAGAGCGTGACCTTGAGGACCATCTTTTCCGGCCGGTTATTGCGGTCACACGCGTGACAAGTCGGGGCAGACCTCCCAACATTTGCTGAGCACGTGGCGCGGCTCGCCCCCTGCCTCGCCTCGGGCATCTTCACCGCCCCCTGACAAGGGGGCCACGCCGCCTCTCCTGGGACCACACTCGCAGCACCAAAGGCAAAGATCCCCCGTGTAGCCTGCAGCAGACTGTTGGGGCAAGTGCCGTTGGCGAGTAGCACCTATGAAGGCCGGCACGGTAAGGGAGGGGGTGGGTGGCCAACACCACGTCCGGCCGCTTTTGTCTCCCCAGTGGCGATGTTTACACATCAAACTGGGTACTCATTTGAGGCTGAGTCGACCTAGGGAAGGCCAAGGACCGATTCAGATAACCGTCGCCGGTGTTGGCCGTGAGCAGGAATCGAACTCGGGTCGCCGGGTTCGTAGCGCGGCTTGCTGACTGCTGTGCTACCGCTCCCCGCTCAATCGAGCACCACGCCAGGACCCGCATGCAACTGTTTGCCCCATTGCACAATAAATACGCAGGCGACGCAGGGACCCGTGACCCGAGTGTGGTGTTCTGAGTGGCTTTGTTATACTTGCCACTGCACATGCGCAACACGATATCCTACCGCGTGCAGGAGAGCGTTGTCAGATTTATTTTGTTTATATTGCTATGATATCTTTCTTCATTGATTTATTTCAGTAACCTGACCAGCTTACCCCAATTCCCCAGCTTCGCGAGGATTTACAATACAGTATTGTTCTTCTATAACGCGGCAGTGGTTGCGTTCCTAAAGAACACCGCGTTATGGAAAAATAATGAGTAAAATGGGGTAAAGCACAGTCCGCGATAACACGTGAGACGCGTGCGCAGGCCGAACACAGACTGAGGCGCGTGGGTAGCATCTAGAAGCATCCAGCAGCATCCCACTGCCTTGTGCGATGCTACGCCGAGGCAGCCGTATGAGCCGCTTAGTCCTACTCGTGTGACGTCGTCCCGTTCTATCCAATCCGCATCCGCGTTATAAAAAATGTGTTCCCTCGTACATTCATCGCGTTATAACCAATTTGTGTTATGGAAACTATGCATGATAAGAGAACAGGCTGTATTTCACAAACCAATGTAGCCTGCAAGCACACGTCAAACGTAATACATTATTTCTTTCTAGATTTGAACTTATCGGGACTGCAGGGATCCATACTATTTGGTTCATTCGGTAAAGTCACGTAGGTATAAAATATAAAATAAATTAAATCACGACGTTTCGGGCGCAACACAAGCGTCCGTCATCGGGTGGAACAACCACAGCAAGACACAATTGTTGAAGCGGGCAAGTGGAGACTGCTGGTAACAAGAGGCTGTATATAGGTAAGAGAGGGGGGGGTGCCAGGGAGAAGAGATAGAGAGGGTGGGGGTAGCGGGAGTGGGGGAGAAGTGGCCTGCTCAACACCGAGTACAGCACAATGCCGGGGCTGGGAAGTGCAAGATCCAACACGGTATTTCTATGTTTCCAGAGGTTTCAGTGCGACTCGGTGTGCTTGTAGTCACTGCCTTCTGCTGCCCTACTTGTCCCAGGTTATCCAACTCCAGTTTGAAGAATTCGACTTGGAGAAAGGTTACGATTCGTTGGTCATCGGTGATGGAGATGAGCCGGGGGATCCCAGATCCGTCCTCAACGTGTAAGACCTCGAACGACGCACGGACGTTCACCGGAGCCGCGCCTTCCAAAGTATTTAACAACCGGCGTCAAAACTTTACCGTTAAAAAATGGAAGTTGGTACATCCACACATTTGGTCTTGGGGTGGAATGGTTCAGAGTACACAATTCAAACGAAAAACTTTTCCAATAACAACAAGACGTGTTATTTTCATACCGTGTCATTTCTTGCAAATTGCTTCTCAAAGACGCTGTAGAATGTGTGATGCGTACAGCGCCGCTTTGGCGCTTTGAAATTTCGCAGCATTTAAGCAGTAGAAGTATAATTGCATGTCCTTGTCTGCATAAGTAATGTTACAAACACAATATTTAAATGTATACTTGTGTGTGCGTGTGGCACTATGCTATGAGTCAACGACGTGCATTATGTCTCTGTGTTCAATCCCAGTCTTTCAGGAGGCGAAGTACCTGACCTTATAGTGAGCATTAGCGGTCACCTGTGGATATATTTGCAGACGGATGAAACTATTGGCTCACTGGGCTTTAAGATTAATTATCAAGGTAAGTACATTGGGAATATGTTTACCCGTTGTTTACTATATGTCTGGATGTTGTTGACATTTCAGAACAAATTGTATTCTCATTTCCAGACAGTGGTCTCGGTGGTGAGATGTTATCTCCCTCCCCTGGTATACAGGAGGACGTGGGTTCAAATCTCAACCCGTACCGCCTTCATATTTGGAGTTTGCATGTCCTCTCTCTCCCCGTGGTCGCGTGGATTTGTCTTCTGGGGCCTTCTATTTTTTCATCCGCATTTAGAAATATGCGTTTAGAGAATTTGGCTGCTATAAATTATCACGTGATGATAAACCCACTTTGTTGAGCTATCATTTGTAGCGAAGCCGCTTCGGAAAGAGAGCTGTAACGTTCAGTGGGCCTTACCTGGCAAAATAAAATTGTTCATTCGTCATTTGTTTTAAATTAATATTAGTCGTCAAAATAACTTGTACAATGGTACACGCTAACCAACTGTTTTTGAGGTTAGCAACTTCATGTTACCTTCAATATTTTTTGAGGATATATATACTACGAGGGGGTGGGTGACAGCGCCACGCCCGACCGCCTTTGTCCCCCCAGTGGCGATGTTCACACAGCAGACCAGTTACTCGTTTGAGGCTGAGTCGACCTAGGGGAGGCCCAGGACCGGTTCAAATAATCGTCACCGGTGGTGGCCGTGAGCGGGAATCGAACTCGAGTCCGCCGGGTTCGTGGCGCAGCGCGCTAACCACTACACTACAATGCGTTACGCTTCCACGTGCACGGGTCACGTGACAGATGGTGACGTCACAGTTCACTTGCCGTGCAAAAAATATATGCATTATTGAGCCCCCCCCCTCCCCCAAAAAAAAATGAAGTGTATTTTTATAATGTTTGCATGGTGTACAGTCTGGAAAGTACCCACATGGCAAATTTCAAGTTTGTTGCATGTCAGGAAGTACGCTAAACATTTTGAACAGACACATAATCACAACTGTGCATTTTATATATACGGAGATGGAGATGTTACATACATGACCTGAAAGGGGACTTGGATTATCGATGTACAGTAAATGTGGCCTCTTCCTAGCGAGCTGCTATCAGTGCCCGAGTCTCAATGTGCACCACTTTATAGCGCTCGGTACAAGAGCAAAGTGCTGGAATAATTTATTACAGATGTGCATACATTAGCGAGAGGGTGGCAGCGTAGTGGTAACACGTGTGCCTCGCAGCAAGAAGGGCCTGGACGTGATTCTCGACTTGGGTGTCATTCTCTGCCCATGTTCCACATGGGTTTACTCGCACAGCAGAAACAGGCACACAACGTTACCGATATTGGAAAAGAAACTCACCTGCGAATGACTCAATCGGCATGACACACAGCAACATCTCCTCCTCCGGAGAAAACTTGGCAAGACCCTCCTCTGAATAGAGGCTAGACTCAGTCAGGCTTTTCTGGGTAAACAAAAAAATAACATGCATTGAGCCCAAGCGTCAAGATGAGGTGGCCAGTGTGAGATATTCATGACTTTTGCTGCCAGTGAGAGACAGAGAACTTCAGGTATGAAGTGGTTGCAGGTGAAACTCAAACATTGCTGCATTGTGATGCGCACATTGCTCTCATTGTGCAACGAATGCAGGAATGATTATGCACAGGTTCTTGAAGGTAAAACATTCTGACGGAAATAAATGTACATTGAACTTCCTTCGCACCGTACGTAGCCAACCGTGCGAATGGGAGGTGCGGGGGGGAGAACTTGTCTGAGCGGCTGTTTCAGGGGTGAAACTTTCGTTTGCTTTGCAGAAATTGAGAAGGGCACCTGTGGAGACCCCGGAACTCCGGCCTACGGGCGACGAGAGGGCTCGTCCTTTGTGCACGGCGACCGGCTGACATTCGAGTGCCACCCGGCGTTTGAGCTGGTGGGAGAGAAGAGCATTGCCTGTCAGAGCAATAACCAATGGACAGCCAACATGCCCAAGTGCATATGTACGTTTCAAGTTAACTTTGCGGTCAATTCTAAATGCCCACTGTATTTGAAGTATTGCACGCTACCAATAGGTAACTATTCATATGAAAATGCAAATTAAACTGTTCATCAGAAACCCCTTTTTAACAGAGATTCAAATAGGGGCCCGTGGTGTTAAGGGCAGCATCCGACTCTAATCCACGGTCTCTCTCTGACCTCTATTGACGTGCAACGTAGAAGGGCCATTGCCTGAAATGTCGCCTGTGATATATGTTTTAACTTGCACGGACACAAATGTGTTAGGTTTTTATTTTATTTTAAGTAGACATATTATACTTTCTTTATTTTAATCCTGTATGCAGGTCAAGGATTGTGTAGGTGACCTATGAAACCCACTACTCCATTTCTCACCTTTCAGTTTCGTGCTTCTTCAACTACACCGCGCCGGTTGGCATCGTACTTTCTCCCAACTACCCGGACGGCTACGGGGGATACCTCAACTGCGTCTGGCTCATCATCACCGAGCCCAACAGCCGCATCCACATCACGTTCAACGACTTCGACGTGGAGACCCCGTTCGACTTCCTGACCGTCCGCGACGGCGAGGAGGAGGAGGGCGACATCCTGGGCACGTTCACGGGGAGCGCCGTCCCGTCGCACCTGTCCAGCAGCGGGCACGTCGCACGCCTCGAGTTCCACACGGACCACTCCATGTCCGGCCGTGGCTTCAACATCACCTACAACAGTGAGTTCGCTCGCTCACGCACTCAGTCTTCATGCTTTGTCGGGGCCCCCTCACCCTCTTTGCTCACAGTTTAGCTCTTGAGACACGGGGTCAATAGTGCCAGGGTCAATTGTACCGGTGTCAATCGTGCATACCGGGGTCATCGTCCCAATTTGCCGAAATTCGTCAAGTGAACAGTGAAATTATGCAACTTAAATATTGTTAAAAAGTTGTCCTTCGGATAAAGTTTTTAATCCATTCCACGAAAATTACTGTGAACCGAAATGATTGTTAATCAAATATAGTGCAAGAGAGCTGTTTCCACTGCCAAAACAGAAGACGTTACAATGTAAACAAAGCCAGTCGAGGTCTAAACGCTCATAAATGGGAGTCGCTGAGTGGCTGAGGGCGTGGCTCAACCCCACTTTAGGAGCACTCGGATTGGCCGAAATTCGGCGCCCGCGTGAATAATGTAAACACGTGACCGTTAATCATAATGTTAACGTTAAGTCGAAACCGTAGGGTCCTTTGGGAGGCGAAACGTTAACCGAAAAAAACGTTAACCGATGTCACTTAACCAGGGGACTAGGGTACATGAGACTCGGTGGAGCTTTCCTGGAGTCAACAAGCTTAAATAACACAAAACAACCGGTAAGAAAACTTAGCAAGGCCTGCCTTTGCTGACTGGCCGATAGGACACAACCAGATCGGCCAATCACGATGGGAGCCAATCTTAATTGGATCGCTATCGTATGCACAATCGGCGGACGGAGGCTGCTATTCTGAAACCAAACTGACCGTGCACCCCACAGTGGCCAAGAGAAAAAAAAAAATAGCAACCCTCTTCACTTCCAACTACCCCACTGTTGCTTCTTTCTCAATTCAGCCGCCAGTGGCGATTTGGAATGCGGTCACCGGGCGGCTTGAGTCACAGCAAGCATTAGGAATGCATTGTTTCACACCGGCGTTTTATTTACATACGTGAGATAACGTAATGAGCTACGCAGCTCGTGGCTTAATTTTGCTGGCAGTAAATTTCCACGTCCGGACATAGCATTGCACACACGCACGCACACACACACACGTTGGTGGGTATTACATTTCCAAGAGCCACATTATTCAAGCCGCTGCATAAAAATGTGAAAGTGCCTCCATAATGAATAGCGGTTACAGTATTTTAAAATGTGTGGCCCTTCAGGAGATATACGAAGTACATATATTTCCCAACCCACACATTTATAGAAATCTCAAAACATTAAGAACCTTGAGCATTTTCTAAGTATAAAGTAAGTGCACTAAAAAATGTTTTTGTTGCTGGCATTTACTTTGTATAAGAATACGGGCGAGTACATCGGTTAATGCAGTCACACTTACAATTCACACATTTATTTCGCAGAACCATGTTGGGTCAGGCAAGGCGGTACTCGGTAGAAACAAAATTCAACAAAGGGGGGTCACAATAGCCAAAAAACAGGGGTTGAGAGCCACTGGCTTAGTGAACGGTCAGAAAAAAAAATCAGTGGCCTTGGGCAGTACCCCCATCGCTCGAAGCGACGGTGCCCGGTGGGCAACGGTTAACGGCTGGGGACCCGACAGAAGTGAAGCGTGGTGGGAGCGGGGTGGTTGGGGCAGTCCGCCGACGAGCTGGAACAATGAAATGAGCTCGCCCCCCCCCCCCCCCCACCGATGTTGCAAGGTGGAACTGTTGCATGGCGGGGATCGTGAGGCTGTTGCGTGGATCGGGGGGAGGCTTTCATTCCAGCAGGGTGAACGGATCGATTGCTTCTGATGGTGACGGCAGCAACGTTGGGATTGTGGGCCCATTCATGGGTGATTTAAAGGCCCCGTTAGAATTTTCGCTCTTGGCATTTGGAAAGGGTGATACTTTGACATTATTTAAAACAAACCCTTGCTCGTGATTTAAGATCCCCACTGTGTACTTACGTTCGACGCACTGTATTGATGTAACATAACATTTTACGGCTAACCCCCAGTTATCTATGGAGGAATTAACCAGGTTGTTGATTCACCGTTTTCGGGGGGAAAAGTAAAAGTGATGTCTTTAAGTGACTGGTTTAATTATTAACTGCTCATCGCTTGTACCCAGGAGATCACAAATGTCTTCGAGTAAACCGATTACTTTAAGAAACATTAAAAACCGACACGTTTTACGTCTTCACACGCGAAACGTCAGCAAACAATAATATTAAACAATGATGAGTGCACGCTTAAATCCTATCGTACATATGTTTTGCATTGTTTGTGTTTTTATTGTATCTGGGCAAAACGTCCCCCAATCACCCCGAATAATACGGAGTGGATTTAGTTTTTAGCTGTCTTTTTTACAGTTACATTTCAATGCATATGCTTATTGATATATGACCTATTGTTATTTACCACAATCGTGTATGAATATATCTCAATAAGAATACAAACGGAGATAAATCTGCTCCGTTTTTTCAATTTCTTTCCCCTGGAATGCTTCACATTTCATTCACTGCAGCCTTTGGTTACAACGAATGCCACGACCCTGGAATTCCCATCAACAGCCGCCGCTTTGGAGACAGCTTTACACTCGGCAAGTCCGTCTTCTTCGTGTGCGAGAACGGATTCATGCGGACACAGGGCTACGAGAGCATCACCTGCGTGCTGCAGGACGGGAATATACACTGGAGCTCAACCATACCCAAGTGTGAAGGTAATTTTGCGCTTCGTTAGACATTTGGCTTTCACCAAAATCCCTCCTCCACTAATGTGCGCATGTCACATTTCCATGCTCGAAATCAGAGACCGGCATACGGATGTGAAACTGAGAGTCGTGCTGGAATGGAGTTCTCGCCTTATTTATCAAAATTGCATTGTCTACGGCCCACATCTGTCGCCAAGAGGATTTCCATTGCGGACCGTAAATTAATCTGAAATTAATCGTAAACGGGGACTTTTTCTGAGCAAAAAAAAAAAATGCTCGTAAAAAAGTTGTTGGGTTCCATGTCGAAATGTCTGTGAATTCCTAATTTTTACGTTTATTACCACTCTGCTCGAAGTGACTGAAAGGGCGATTCGCCCGCTTGCCATTTGGGAAGGCTGACTTTTGCAGAAGGGCTGATCACTCGACATTTACGCTTCCTCTCGTAACGGGCTCTGGATGTCTACGATTCCTGTGCGGCCAATTCAAAGGGTTAAAAAGGGCAATTTGAAGTGGAAGTTTCGATGCAAATCCTGCTGGGTAAAAAAAAGCACGGCGCTCAATGTGGCGTTTAAACACGAGGACTTTGGAAGCAGCGCTAATCTCAGGACTTCGTTTGCGAAAAGTTAAGTGAGCATCTCCGTAGAATTATCTTGACCCTCGTAATATTTCCAGTCTGTAGATAACTATTGAGTTTTAGCTCAATCTGGAAGTCTCATATGTAGGTAACTCTTTAGGAGATGTCTCTTCATGTACAGCATCTGCATGTCCTTAGAAGGGGCCATAAAGCGCGCTCCTCATGCATTGCCGGCACCTTATAAACGTTCACACTCTTCAGAGTTTCCTTCAGCACATAGTTCGTGTTCTCAAGTAAGAAACACATTTTGCATTTGTAAATTGTCATCTCTCCTGTTAATCGTCTGTTAAACTGGATATTTGACTCTTACAATACACTATATGAATAATACAATATATAACGACTTTCATGAAATGTGTCAAGGCTTAAGTTAAAGTTTTAACGGTATATCTTTAATAGATATTTTAAACCCATTATATCGCAACTTTGTCACGTTACATAGCCGCACTTGAAGCGTTTAGCAACTCGACAATCGCGTTACACAACAGCTTCAACAACAACGATGCTGTCTCCCTCTCGGCGGCCCCCTGTGTGGCGTCTCCTGTCGAGCTCGTCCACGCCGACACGGCGTGTGCGTCCACGCTGTGTCGGCGTGCGTGTCCACGCTGTGTCAGCGTGCGTGTCCGTGCTGTGTCGGCGTGCGTGTCCGTGCTGTGTCGGCGTGCGTGTCCACGCTGTGTCGGCGTGCGCGTCCGCGCTGTGTCGGCGTGCGTGTCCACGCTGTGTCGGCGTGCGTGTCCACGCTGTGTCGGCGTGTGCGTCCACGCTGTGTCGGCGTGCGTGTCCGTGCTCGCGAGGCCGCGTTTAGCAGCCACCTCTGTCGGTGTTTGCGGTTCCGCGTGGAGGGGCTGCGATCGGTGGGCCAAGATTCCATCACGCCCGACATTGTTTGGAGAGGCCTCTGCGGAACATTGCATTGAAGTCGCTGAAAATTTTCCGTGCATTGCCACGTACAAAAAAATAATAACAAATTCTGTCTTTATTTTTGGAAGCCGTGTACATAAATAATAGCTGTGTGTTCCAGCAGCATGATGCCGCTGGCATGTCAAGTGATTTTATTGTGCAGGTATTTTGTTGTCAACTCGCATGTTATCTATTCTAAATTAAATGCGTATTTATAAGCAGCTATTGATTATGTACTGTAAATTAACGGCGGTTTGTTCACCGGTGCAATGTGGTATGCTTTGATTGCATAACGTCTTTCTGGTATAAAATAGGATCGAGATGTCAATGAATTCATCCTGTATTTCAGATAGAGGTGATTTTTTTTTGTATTCAACACAAGTGGTAGCGCATTAATTCATTTAAAACTTCTCATCCATGGGACTTTAAATAATTCAACAATGGGAGGAGGAGAGGAAAATAATACGAATGGATGCTCCTTTGTAAATCATAGACAGTGATTTATGTGCGTAGCCTTATTTCTGATATTGGTGTGAGGTTATTTAAATAAAATGCCAAGGCGATGATTGAAGGTGAAGGGACAACATTTTGCTGTTGAGATATTGCCGTGAGTGGCGTGCTAAAGCTCTTGACGTGAATCATTATTCCAGCTCCCTGCGGAAGTCATCTGACGGCGCCCAGTGGCACCATCTTCTCCCCCGGATGGCCCAGCTCCTACAGGGACTCCCTCACTTGTGAATGGGTCATAGAGGTGAACAAAGGGAATGCCATAAAAATTACATTCCAGAGGTAAGTCCATTCCATTTTTATATCCAGTATAACGTTTAGTCATTATTAATCCCATTTTTTTTCTATTCCCAAGGCCATGTATAATTGAAAGTTTTAATGCAATGCTGTATATGCGTATGCCCTTTGTAGATTTTTATTTCACAAGTAATGCGTAACAGTGTGGTTTAATTTACTTTACCAGCGCAAGAATGCACCGGACTTTTTTAGGGTCATTTTTTTGTCGGTAATGTTTTTTCTTCGTTCAGATTCGTGATGAGAAATTTTCCGCTTTACTATCAGCAACGGGGACACTCGCCGCGTAGTGTGTTTCAGCCCCTTCGTCAGCACGGGGACGTTGCCCTTCGCCGCCACGTGGTGCGATCGCGTGCATTCTTTGAACGTTAGATTTTAACGTAAGCCATGAACTTCAAATGGAATGGAGACGATTTAGGCAAGACTTTTTTGGGTGTGAAACATTCGTCGGGCTCCATGGATGCTTCTTCCAAAATTATAACACCCCATTTCCTTCTTTCAGCTTGATTTATAACATATATTATTTTTTGCACAAATTTATATTTTTCCAACCTGAAGTGTACCAACACGCTATAGGGATGACAGGGGAAGGGGCGAGAGTCTTCCGAGCCCTTTGCTTTGCAAATTCTTTTGGCACATTTTTTTGTTATCCTTTCATGCTGGTTTCAAATTGTGAAACTTCACAGGTTCTCGTAATACATATTTAAATGAACCTACGTGTCAAATTAGGGTTTGGTAAAACATGAAGTGCATTGGGTAGTAGAAGTCATACCAAGCAGGCCAAAGCCTCAGGCATGATGTTAACTACCTCGCCTGGTATAGAGGAGGTCGTGGGTTCGATCCCGACTCTGACGCCTCTATATTTGGAGTTTGTGTGTCTCTCTCTCCCCGTGGTCGCGTGGATTTTTCTGCGGGTCATCCGGGTTTTCCCTCCACATTTAGTAAGAACATGCGTTTAGAGCATTTGGCTGCAATACATTTCCACCCAACAATATGCCACTTTGTTGAGCTATCGTTTGTGATAGCCAGCTCGCTTCTGAAAAAGAGCTACATAGCTCAGTGAGCCTTACCTGGTAAAATAAAAAATAGTTTAACAGTTTAAAAATCAGAATCTGTATTTATCCTGGAGGAACCCGATGAGCTATAAAGCGGTTTTTTCACAGATGTCCAGTCGAGGCACGGGGTAAGTACAAAAAGATGATAGCAGTGCAAAATACAAGAAAGGTAAACAAATCACCCCAACACATACATTAGAGTGCTCGTGGAGGCACACCAGACAGGTCATTTGAATCGGTCCTCAAGCTCAGGCAGCACAACTCAGGGTCATTCATATCGGAGTCAACTCTCCATTGTGCAGGGGAAGTCGGGGGAGGCGGATGGCCTGGGCAAAACCAAAATCGCGGATAGTGCAAAACTCGCCCGAGTTAAAATACGACATCGCATTCGTCGTTCAGCTCCGTAAACTGGAGGTGAAGGCGTGGAATGCGTCGTCGTCGCCGTGTGTGCGAATGGCTTCTTTTAGGTCATCCGTTTTACCCGCCGATACGATTGTGGCTACTCGACCACCCCGCCAGTGGCCCTCGGTGAGCTTGCTGCAGCTCGCGATAGAACCGGCGCACGAGTTCAACGCGCCAATGAGCACAGTGACCCGACCTCGGATAATCGGGCGTTTTCGCTGCGTTTCAAGGTTGTGTGTGCCAACGTTGCGGTGCTCTGTGTGGTACAGCGAGGACATCAACAAGAGCGCATCCACAATTCAACGTGGCAGGAAGGAATCCTCGCTGTGGCCCTTCACGCCGTGTTGTGACCAAATTTTCAAATCCTCGCGGTCCTCTCAACAAAAGTTGGAAGGATATCTATATTTTTAAAAAATGATGGACAAGGTTATCTATTCTGCTGTTCGTCGTAATATTCGCTTCACTCGCGTGGATCGTAGAAGCGGTGGGGCGCGCTTTTTGTCAGCCTCTCACAATCGCGTGTGTCAGGTTCACTTTGCCCGGACGTTGACTGTCAGTGCGAACGTGCATTTGCCAAACACGCAGACCTTCGACGATTGCAATGCACGTGTGTGAATCTTCCGGTTGTTACAGATCTTTGGATGGTGTTGTGTTGCTGATTAAAGAGTAAACGTGGGCCAGGTTACAGGCTCCTTACACGAACCCACCTCTGCCTTTAGGAGGTCCAGTGAAATTAGAACTGCTGCCTATGTGACGTTAAATTGTTTCGTGTATTTATTTAGCCTAATGATATACTGTAGTTCACAATCACAATCTGAATCTTTATTTATCCTGGGGGAATCCGATGAGCTACAAAGCTTTTTTTTTTACAGATGTCCAGTAGGGGCGTGGGTCAGAAAGTTACAACAACAAACCATACCAAAAACACGACAGGAGTGCAAAGTATAGGAAAGGTAAACAAATCACGAACAAATAAATACGTAACATAGATAAAGTATACAAGTGGAAATTGCACAAGTACGCCGTACCTCCAATAAGCACGGTTGGTTACGTATGGTGCAAAAGAAGGTCAACATACGTACGTACAATTCTCAAGCTTGGGCAAGGCAGCAAAACAACAACAAAAACAGTCTCAGACCACACCAATGCAATACACAGGCCCTCAATAAAATTGTACATTAAACACACACCACTGTTGTAGTGGATAACACATCACTGCTCTAGTTGATAACACACCACTGTTGTAGGTTCCAGACTGAGCCCAACTACGATCTGACTCCCTCTCCCTGAAGGTTCCAGACTGAGCCCAACTACGATCTGACTCCCTCTCCCTGAAGGTTCCAGACTGAGCCCAACTACGATGTGCTGGAGGTGCACGACGGCAGCTCGGCGTACTCCCCGGTGCTCGGCGCGTTCCACGGCACGCAGGTGCCACTCTTCCTCGTCAGCAGCGGAAGCCACCTTTTTCTGCTCTTCACGACGGACAGCAGCCACTCCGGGATGGGCTTCCAGCTGCACTACGAACGTACGTCCCCGTCTCCCCACCCCTCCTCCCCGCTCTCGCCGGCAAGTTCCGTCGCGTAGAGCTCGATCCGCTCGCAAATTGCGCACTGAAATAATGAAGAGGAATGTTCGAGAAACTCGTTTTATGTCGGAGCCTCGACATAAACGGATCGCCCCGCACAATGGATAATTAAAGTGTCGGTGAGGGGAAAAGAAAACCTCGGGTGTCACACTGATAATCGGGCTTCAGGTAAGGGTTGTAACTTCGTTTTAAATGTGAACATGGCACCCTCTGATCTGTAATTCCTCACACGCGTGGAACATGAAGGGCGTTTGACCTTTTCGAGGTGGAGGCGCAGCGGGAGAAGCTTCGTGCACCCAGCCCCTCGCCGCTGCCGTCCGGCTGCTGCACGTTCTCCTCACTTTGTTGGCGACGTGACGGTCGACGTTGGATACACAGAGTATTGCCATGCAGCGGGTGTCGCGGGAATTTCGCGCGTAAACGTCTTAATGCGTCGCCTGTATTCGTGGAGCGCATTAATTTCGAAGTATCGAAATTAATGTGCTGCGATGCTTAGAAAACCGATTTGTATTGTCACTCAAAAAGTTTCCGCACACCCGCCCCCCCCCACCGCGTAATTAGTTTGTGTTACCCCTTTGTCAACGTCGCACATGCTGTGAGCGCCAACAAATGGAAGTGTGAGTGCACGTGTGTGCCTTTGTTACGTGTATGGGGAGCGGTAGTGCAACGGTTAGCGCTACGCTGCGCTTCTAAACCCAGCGACCCGAGTTCGATTCCTGCTCACGCCCAACACCAGTGACGATTATCTGAATCGGCGCTAGCCCCCCCCCCCCTTTGTTCGACTCAGCCTCAAATGAGTACCTGGTGCGATGTGTAAACATCGCCACTAGAGAGACAAAGGCGGCCGGGCGTGGTGCTGGCCAACCATCCCCTCGTGTGCCGTGCCGTCCTTCATCGGTGCTACTCGCTAACAGCACTTTCCGCAACAGTCTGTTGAGGCTATACGGGGGGCCCTTGTCTCTTGTGCGTGTGTCCACATTCTAGGGGTGACGTGGGACGCGCACTCCTGCCCCGATCTGCCCGTTCCGGTGCACGGCCGGCGACTGGGGGGCGATTTTTATATCGGCTCGTCCGTGGAATTCTCCTGCGAGCCAGGATTTTCACTCAGCCACGACCTTCCTCTGACCTGCCAGGACAACCACCAGTGGACACAGCAGCTGCCGACCTGCGACGGTGATGCTCCACACCAGCGCTGTTCGGCTGTCCAGTGGGAAATGCCAAAGCGCTCTGATTTATTTTTTGGAGCTGCAGCATTACCAACGGATGTCACGCGTGGCACCAAGTCACCGATTATTTTAGGGCACTAAACGCGGAAGCAGACTGCCTGCGCGAACTGGCGTGGACAAAATTTTGTGCAATACGGTCGCGTCAAATTACGTAACGGTTTCGAGAGAAAACGCGGAGGAAAAAAGCTACGATTCGAGTTTTGGGTAAAAAAATTGGTGTGTGTGAGACCAGGCGGGGGGAAAGATTAAAAAAACCCTCAGAGAGACCAGGATAGGAGTCTCATTTGGGTCACCAAAAATGATAGAAGCAAAAAAAACGAATAAATAATAACAGCACAGAGTAGAAGCAAATTGAAATCGGCGCACACGAATATAAAAAAGCAACCGTGTCAGGTCAGAGGGAGACCAAAATAATGTTGGCAGAAGAACATCACAGGTAGACTGCAAATCACGGGGAGCGGCAGTTGTCATTCCAGGATTGGTTTCCGGGAAGTCATCGGAGCTGCAACATCCTGGATATGATATCCAACCGATGATGATGATGTGCCTTATAAGTGTACCGTATGTGTATATATCGATGCGTACGCATACACTATATCTTTGTGTGCGTGGTGTTTTTTCACTTCGCGTTTCATTATTAACAGCGCGCTCTTGACATCGCGGTGCTGTGTACACAGGAAGCTATTTAATTTTGACAAAATATGACGCTGCATCATATCGCCTTATATTCCTGAATAATTAATATTATATCACTCGTTGCCCCTTATATTTGCTCTCGTTTTTTTGCCGTTGAATGCAATTTTGTTGTAAAATGTCCCACCGTTGTGCGACGAACGATTTCTCTTTCGCATTGTGCCGTGGATTAACACTCCGCTACTCAAGTGTGTGTTTTTGTTATGAGCATTGCGCCCGCTGGCAGGTCGGCCTCGAAACAATAATTCCCAGCCAATAAAAACAAAAGGCACGACAAGTGAACGTCTGCATTGGCCCGGGAACATTTTCGGAGAGGGAAAAATTGCGTCACGTGACGCGGGTGTTCGGCTATCTTCGACGATTTGTCGTCTTTCTCAAGCCCTTCGTACGACCAACGGCTAAAATTAAAAGTGCCTGGTAATGACTTTAACAGCCAATCTTTTCTCTCTTGAGTTGAAAAGACCGGGAGTTACAATAGCAGCAGCAGCAGATGTGTGTGATTATGATGAATTATATGTAGGCTGTCAATATAATTATTGCACCATTAATCTATTCTTCAGTGAGTCCTGCTGAGGACAGTATACTCGTCATTATATACCGTATTGTCGTGAATGCAGCTGCTTTATTCATTGCAGCACTATTATTTCCAGACAGCGCGTCAATGTGTTTACTTGATCATACGTGGTTGTACTATCAGCGTCTCTAATTGATACTTTTTCGTGAAAAAGTAGTTGGCGTAGTTTTACATTTGCCAGGCAATTGAATTGTAAGGACATTTTTAAGTGCAAACCTTGAACAGTTATCGGAATGTTTTCTTTTCTTTCAGAATCAGAATATATATTTGTACTGCAGGAGGAAACTGATGAGCTATAAAGATCTTTCCCACAGATGTCCAGTAGGGGCACGTGGTCAGAACGTTGAGGATGACACTTATACTTGGCTCAGGAGGACAGCTCTTTACTCAAAGCCACCTCTCATTGCCACTATAATTTATTAGCACTTTAGGGTTGTGCATTGTTTAATCACCCCTTGGTGGATTAAGTGGTTTTAGGTTAGCAGCATATTTGCTTACTCTGTCAGAATCAGAATCGTTATTTATCCTGGCGAAATCCGATGAGCTATGAAGTTTTTCGTCAAAGATGTCCGATAAAGAGTTGAGGCGTTTCAATGCTAAGAAGTTTTTTTTTTCTTTCACCGTATTATGAGCAATTGCTTAATCTGGGAAACACGATAATTTTCTTACATTTTATTCACTATCTCACGTCGTTTTTCATGCGTGCGTGCATTCGTGTGTATGCAATTACCGGGTACACAAAGATGTAATCTTAACATTGTTGCGATGTGTGACTAATGCCATTGATGCCATTTCCTCTCTCCCTCGCTTTAGCCCTGTGCGGAGGATATATAAAGGCATCGACGGGAACCATTCTGTCACCGAGATTCCCCAACTTCTATCCCAATTCCCTGAACTGCACGTGGACTGTGGAAGTGTCACATGGCAAAGGTACGGGATGCGCACAGCAACACAACTCGAAATCACCCGGCAGCCCTTCTTGATGTTAAACTGGAAATGACAATGCACATATTCGTTTTTTTTTCATTTGTGACGTAATCCAACATCTCTTTCATAGAGCATTGCAGCGACTGTTGAGCACATTGCATTCCGTATTTGAAGTTTTCACCATGTAGTCAATTTAAAGAGAAGAAATAAAAGGCTTTACCATTTCTGGCAATAACACCTATGTTGAAACACCAGACAGACCCGTTTGCATTAACCACACATGCTTGCGGTAAAACGTTAAAAACAAATATGCTTTGATAAATAATCGATGCATTGTCCTTGAAACTGATTGGCCTCCTTCATGGCCTCGTCTCGCCGGTGCTGTAGACCAAAGGGTGCTAAAATGAGAACTGTGCAAGAGCAATGCGAACACCAAAGCATGAATAGTTTACTGCTTAACCTGAGCTGTTAAAGATTATTAATAGTGTAGTGTGTTAACTTATGCGCACACTTGTACTCGGAGGCAACACGTCTATTTAACACAACGGGTAACTCTGACAGGGTAACAGCACAGGGTGGTGACCACCACGGCTAACTAACTGACACTCGGAGAGACAATTCTATAGTCGGACCCGGACAGCTGACGGGCTGCCTGGTCCACACGTGGAGACTGGAGACCGAGGACCGAGGGCGGCGACTTCATTCCCAGAGTTGAGCGCCACGATCCCTCTCGGGACCCCGCTTATGACTCCCCTGGCGTGGCTAGCTCTGCCCTTTGCCAAGCCCCCCTTCCAGAACCCTCGTGGGGACTCTGGATCCCCACCACGTGATCCTCTCACTCCCGACTGGGGCCCCTCTGCCCCCTCTCGTCCGGTCACGTGTCCTCCCGGGTTCACCTCGCTGTCACGTCCTGACGCGACCCCCTTCTCAGCGACACCCGGGCTCCGCCCTTACACGACCACCCCTCACACGGCACTGTCTCTACACCGCGGTGGCCCCCTCGAGACCACCACAAACGTATAAGAATGGAAGAGCTACACTGAGATTGCATGAAGAAATTAACATTCAAAAATACGTGTCAGAATTAATGCATCATTCGTTAAAAAAAAAATCTGAAAATGAGTTTATTTGGCATCAGTAAACTGGCACATTAATGATGACCAACATTTTCAATTTGGATCCACCCCCTGTGTTCTTTGTGGTCAGCCAGGGGGGGGGGGGGGCTGGAGCTGATTGGTCTTCTACAATTACATGGCTGGAGGGAATGTCTGGACACATAACACGTATGACTACTTGTAAGCCTGCCAACCATGACATTACAGTCGCACTGGGCATGAAGCTAAGAAAATTGCACCAAAGATGAGTGTGCATCACAGACTGCCAAGCTGAGACGTGTTGGGAGAAAGTTTGAGTGCACTAAGGCGGCTCCCTGCTGCTTCTCTTTGCACTCCCCAGCGTGAATTTTAAGCCATAATCTGAAAAAATTGTTCACGTGACAAATGGTTACATAAGATACCTCGTTGTACCGTGAACGAAACAAAAGCGTTGTTCGTATTGTTCGAGTGAAGAGCAACGGTTGCATGCTTGTGGCGAATTAAAATGTAGTGGTGTCCATTGCCCTGTTTGCTCGACGCTGGTCATTAGGGGCCGTCCATAAATTACGTCACGCGATTTTGGACGATTTTGACCCCCCCCCCCCCCCCCTCGTCACATGGCGTCACAAAGTCAGACCCCTCTCAAATATGACGTCACAAAGCTCTGCCCCCCCCCCTCTCCAGGGGTTCATATTATTGGTTCTTTCGGTAAAGTGACGTAGAAGGTAAAAATTGAAATAATAAAAATAAAACAATACAATTCTCACGACGTTTCGATTGCAACACAAGCAATCATCATCAGGTGTGAAAACCACAGCAAGAAAATTTTAAAAAGTGGCGGTTTTTTCTTAACGTCAGCACCACGGACAGCAACTGGCGGTTGTTCAGGCGGACGAGTCCATCTATGCTCGGAATGGAGGAGAGGGGAGAGAAATAGAATGGAATGCGGTCTGAAAGTCACCGTAAACGTGAACAACAATCAATTAAGACCCGAAATGGTTTATCAAATCCTTCCAATGATTGCTAAGCCAGAATCCATCTTCTCGGTTGAAATTGTCTCTGTGTTTGTATATGTGGATAGCCTCATGAACGAATCTCTCATGGTAGCCAGATGGCTTGCAGAGAACCTCTGTCCTGGAGAAGTCAATGTCATGTGAGCCCATTTAATTATAACAGTGGTCTGCCACCGCTGAGGTGTTGGTCCTACCGTGTTTTAGGTCTGCTTTGTGTTCACGGACGTGGTCCGAGACATGTCGTTTGGTTTCCCCAATGTAACTGCTACCACAGAGGCAACTTAGTTTGTAGACGCCAGGGTACTGTATGTCTGGAATTATATCTTTTACAGACGGGACCAGATCACGGATTTTATGGACTGTGTTGAATTAGACATGCATCTTGTGTTTATTCAAGATTTTGGAGATCTTTTTTGTGACCCCCGCAATGTAGGGTAAGGTGATGGTTTTGAATGGCTCCTCAAGAGGGTCCTTCTTCATGGTTGGAGTGATGGCTTTGTGGATTGTGTCGTCGGAGTAACCATTAGCCTTGAGAGCTTGGTGTACGTGCTTGAGTTCACTGGCAATGTATTCTTGGTTGGAGATGCATTGGGCTCTATGATGTAGAGTCTTGATGAGGGAATTCTTCTGGGATGGATGGTGGTGGGAATCCGGTTTTAGGTAAGCATCCGTATGGGTAACTTTCCTGTAGACAGAGTGGCTCATTGAACCATCAAGTCTCTTTTTTATTAGGACATCCAAAAAAGGTAGCTTGCCATCTTTTTCGACTTCCATGGTAAATCTGATGGCTGGGTGTATGCTTCAAATCGCTTTAAACTCTTGTGATTGTAGTGCATATTTAATGTGCCGCTGCACTCTGATGTAGGAGAAAACATTTATTAAAAAAGTCTATTTAATTAAGTAGAACGTGTTGTCTATATGTATTTAAAGTTGAGCATTTTGATGTGACGTCACATTTCTCAAACCCCCCCTCGTCACACATCGTCACAAATGTCTGACCCCCCCCATAAATGACGTGCGTGACGTCATTTATGGACGGCCCCTTACTGATCAAAACAATATTATTGCTTTTCCTCATGAATTGTTCAAACGTATTTTTTTCCGGGGCACGCTAAAGAGAACATTATTTGGATACGGACAACTTCAAGCCTATGACGGAAATAATTTAAACATTCAGTTGTATATTTCGTGCATATGGTACTGTTGTATATGTTGGTTATCAAAATTTGTTATGTTGTATGCGTGCGTGGGTGAAATTATTATGTTGTATATGTGGGTTATGAATATTCAGTGAAAATAATAATAATTAAATGAAATTTGGCCAAATGTGTAATTATCCGGAAATATGTTAATTTATGTAATTATGCACATTTTAATTATGCCAATTCGAGAGGTAATCGTATTAATTATGCGAGTGGGTGTAATTATGATAATGCAAGTCGTTATGATAACCAGACCCCGCCTCGGTGATGAGGGTGGGTTATCGATCGGAATAAGGCAATTAATCGTATGCAGTTATGCAGGTGTGGTGTAAGTATGCAAGATTGACTTAGATTAACTCGGCATCGTTGTCTAGGTTCGTCTCATTCTCGCTTTAACATTCCCAGAGTGTGTATTCGTGGTTATATTTTAGGTCCCCGATTCACCCCGTTATCGCTTTAACATTTACTGAGTATGTGTTAGTGTGTTTATTAAGGTCACCAAGTTCAGATCTCAACGCAGAAGCAGATCTTATGCATAGATTTCAGGAAAGAATCACACAACCACTTCTGTATTGATCAATTTATTACTAATTCAACCTTAACTATGATATAGTATGCGAACTCTCAATCCCGGAACGTCAACACGGCATCAATACAGTATCATCAACGATTGTCTGATTTCACTTTGACAACGGCACATGGATCCCGCATAACGCGATGGTTGTTAGTGAGAGAGAGAGTCGTTAAAATATGCAAATACTAAGCTAAGAAAACCTTAACGTTAATGAATGATTATACTCAATATTGTTCACGCAGTACCGCACTCCTTATTGATCATACGCAACCCTTATCACGTTGTTAGCACCTTGGGTCACGGGACAGTTGAATATTCTGTAGAGGATGCGAGTACGTGCGGCGATTATGACTGAAAGATACTTGAAAGATTATACGGCGATAAAAAAAACACAATCAAAAACAGTTATTATTCTTAAAGGCATCAATCTCAACAGATACATCGGCAGGTTATCTGACAACAGAACGGCTCGGAGTAAGGGCCTGCGACGGTGCTCCTTTTCCGAAGATCGTTATCTTATACCAAGTTTACTAATTGGGGACCAGATCACCTGATAAGGATCCGGTGGGCCACCACTCCCCACGTGAGCGTGGCTCGGCGGAAGGAGGTGCCAAGAATCAGTTCGTATTGATGGATCTGTTGGGAATTTATGCGATTAAGAGTACAGCCCACTAAATATTAAAGATAAAAATTACGAATACTTTTATAAACGACGGATGGCCATCACTCGGTCTCGTTGTGATGCCTTCCCAGCCACAGATGGCTTATGGGTTCGAGTGTGTTTGAGTGGTAAGAGTTGTCTTGAATAGTCAGTGTTCGGAGTCGATTCTTTATGTCAAACAGACGCCTGGTGGTCGTGTGGTGAGGGGGCGGTGCGCGTCATACGTATCAGTCGCTCCCCTGTCACCGTGGTGAACTGGTTCGGATGCCCGTTGATACGCTGTCGCAGTTCGGAACCCGGTCGGTAGGTGGCACCCACAACTCGCTCGCAGCGTGCAGTGTTGTCGTCGACTAGGGTGTGCACGGAGCCTCGTCGCCAAACCGCGACCCTCACCACTCCGGCGGCAGCAGAGACCTCCGACTCGGCAGAGGTTGACCCACGCAGGCCGAGTTGAGCTGT